CAAAGAACATCAGGAAATTTTACACTTTTCTTTAATAAAAATGTTTAAACTATAATAGGATACTGTAAACTCTAAATGCTTTATCTAAATGCTTTATCAAAAGTCATGATTAAAAACAAACAAACAAACAAAAAGTCATAATGATTAATATAGATGAAGCCTTAAAGTTGAGTTATGGTCTTATATAAAATACAGTAAAGAAATATCATTTTTCATTATGTCAATTAAAACTTCATAGCTATAACATGCAAATTATCAGGAAAATGTAGAACACATTAGTTTCTTTACCAGCTCAAAACAGAAACAATGAGAGAAATAACTTACTGCAACAATCATAATTGCATTATCCAAAAAGCCAAACCCTATGAAAGGTATCGCATTGTGGATGAATACTGAAAAACATTAAAAACAGAAAAATATATTTTAAAATTTCCATAACTTTACAATGACAAATGCAAATTATATGATTTAAGTCTCCTAAATAAATTTGATAATCATTAAATTCCATTGTCCAATAGATCCCAATGTCTAAGAGATCCTTCTACTGCTAAGTTTACATGGTAGACACTATACTGGGAAAATAAAAAATACATAATATGTAAAAAGAACTGTGTTAGGCTTTTCTTACTAGTAATATACATACAGAGAAGTCTGCAAAAGTTTATGGAAAATGTACATTATAAAAAACTAAGCATGGATTTCAAAATATTTTTGCACCAAAAATAATTTAATTCCATTTTCCATGAACTTTTGAAGTATCCTCATACATACAGTTAATGGCAGGACAAACCAGTAAACATGAGTACTACAGTTTACCTGATGACTACTGACATCAATCTTTATCACTTTTATGCCTAAAGATTGATATCATAAAACTGATCTCTATTAAAAATGATAATAAATGCCTTGAATTAAATTTCAGGGGTTCCTTACAATAACCAATTTTTAAAGAAATATCTAAAAAGGGTATACCTCATCGATGTACAATCTTTTTTGCTTCTCACAAGTATCCCTAAATGCTATTACAAACTATAAATAATATGTGATTCAATAAAATTGTAACTTGGCCTTTTCCTACCAAAGGCACAACTTAACTCAACCATCTGGTAATCTGAGTGACCTGAGATACCAGAAATTTAACTAGAAAGAACTAGCATCTATATATTTTTTGATATATTTTATATTTGCATTTTAGTCTTTATATATTTATTTTATTTTTCTTCAGCACATTGCACAATGCCAAGGGTACAGTAGAAACTCAGTAAATATTGGTTAATTAAATCGAGCACCACTAACCTAGAAAGGAAGAGAATTCCATATTAAGAAAATTGAAGATAGATCGTGAAACAGATTAAAAACTGGAAAAAGGTAAAAAAGACTTCATTCTAATTAATGTATAAATATTGCCAAGATATAATCAACATCAATAACAATTGAGGACTTTTTAAAATAAATATCAAACTCTTAAGTTTTATACTACATCCAAAAATAATCCCTTAAACCAATTGGTTATTATGTGTTCAGTGCTTTTAGAGTCTTTCTTTAAAATACGATCCAGAAGTATTGCTTTAGTGAGTTCTGTACCAATCAAGAATGGAAAATAGACAATAAATTAAGAAAAAAAGTATTTCTCCCATAACCACTATCAAAGACTAAGATTAAGAGGAAATACCATATACAATGCTATTATGAACAACAGTATAATTATATAAGATAGCACATAGAAATTCACTTTAGATTTCTTCTTGCTATCAAATAAAAATGTGGAAGGTCAAGAACAACATTTTAATTATAAAGATTATTTTAAAAGCTACTGAACATGATAAAAATCAAATAGCACATTAATAAAACAGAATTTTTCAGACTCTAGCCTTAAGTTTTTTGACTTTTTGCCTCAGTTTCTTAACTACTGAACATTCAAAATTTTAATAATAAGCAGCTTCCAAAACACACACACACACACACATATATGTTATATATATGACCCAATTTCCAAAATACGATAAATATTTTGCAGGTCAAAGGGAATACTGTAATGAAATTTCCAAAATCCACTAAATAAAACAATTACAGAGAAAACTACTTAAGTATATCTCTGGAGTCAATCTAAAAATTGGCCAGTTATAAATACCTTAACATTAGGTGTTTAAGCCATAAATTAAGATTACAGTAACTGCTGCCCCTGCAAGAAGTTCCTCAGTAAAACCAAAGTGTATGCTACTATAACCACTCTGAACTATGTTACATTTGTGTTTCCACTGAAATAAATGTGTCTTATATATAAAATTTATTTTTAATCCAGTGGAAAAATACAATTTTTCACAAAGTTAAGTAAATATAAACTGCTCATTCCACTGGGAACTTGCGGTATAAACATAAGTAAGACTTGGTTCTCAGCCCTATAAGAGTATAAGTATTGTAATACAGCAAAAAAAAATTACTTTCAATGATAACAACATTATACGGTGCTATGGATATAGATAGTATAAATCTAGGCTGATGAGAATCAAGAAAGATTACCTGGGAAGAAAGTCTTAAATAATTCCAAATTGCTTTGGTATTTGAGGAAAGCTATTAATTTCTAATATAAATTACAATCTATCTATGAGAGAAAAATGAACTTCTAATTATATAAATTTTTTCTCCAGTATGTAATGATCTATTAATTTGTGATCTTCGATTTCCTTTGGGAAACACTATTCTATATAACTCAGTGGTTGTTAGCAAATCACAATTAATATTTAGTTAATTTACAACCTCTTAAATTTGCTTCTCCATTGAATAATTCTCTTCTGTCACCATCTTTATAAGCCCCCAAATTGTTTTACATTACTTCCTTCCATGCTAGTCTTAAATATTTATTTCTTACATAATAGAGAAAAGAAAGAACACAAAGAGTATTGTAAAAAGGTTTTATCCTTCATAGTTTTACATGAACTTTACTTTTTTCATTATTACAACCAACCAGAAGCATTTTCCCTACCAAAGAACAGTCCTACTTAACTGTGCACCTAGATATTCTAGTTCTGCAGTTACCCACCTTAAATTCAAATACTTCCTTTTTCCTGAGAAGTAAATACATACTTTTTCCTGGGAACTAATATACATTCTACCATAAGTATTATTCTATTTTTAATTATAATAATATTTTAACAATATCAGTAACTTAATAGTATAAAATCTTAAACCAAGTTTATAAATTTAAGCTTTGGCACACTAGGATTATTTACTCTATCTGTAAATATTTAATTTGCTGGTTCTTTGGTGTTTTCAATGACTGATGCAGTTATTTCAAGTCCAAAAGAGAGATGCACATATATTTAATAATTATAGAGCAATTACCATATCTCAGCTGTCCTGGGGTGGGTGGTTGAGCTTCCAATTTCTCTACATGAGAAAAAAAAAGGGGGGGGTTGTGGGACAAGAATTAGTTACTATAGCATGATATTTTTTACAACAACGAAGAAAATATCAGCAGATTCACAAAGTGGGAGAATAAAAGTTTATTTAGTAAATTATCTTAGGTTAACAAACCAAAGTAATACATTCAAAAATATTAATTGATACAGATTAAATTACAAGGCTAAAAAACAAAATTGAGCTTTAGTAACAAGCCTACCATGGACCACACAACCCTGGTTAATCATGTGACTTTTTTTCTTTTCAACTCCTTGCATCTATATAATTGAGCTTGTTTGCATTAATTCTAGTACAAAAAAAAAAAACTTCAGAAATAATACCTACTCTTCTTTCAAAAAAGATTTTTATTTATTTGAAAGTCAGAGTTACAGAAAGAAAAGGAGAGACAGAAAGAGGGAGATCTTCCATCCCTTGGTTCACTCCCCAAGTGGCTGTTAACAGTCACGGCTGAGCCAGGCGGAAGCCAGGAGCTTCATCCGGGTGTCTCATGTGATGGTAGGGGCCCAAGCAGTTGTGCCATCTCCTACTGCTCTTCCCAGACCATGAGCAGGGAGGTGAATCAGAATTGGAGCAGCCCTGATACCAACAGGGCCGATGTTATGGCATAGTTGTTAAAGGCGCCACCAGTAACACCAGCAAATTTTATGAATGCCACTTGTGTCCCAGCTGCTCCATTTTGAATCCATCTCCCTGCTAATGGCCTGGGAAAAGCAGCAGGATATAATCCAAGTGTCCAGGCTCCTGTCATCCATGCAGAGGACCTGGATGAAGCTCTTGATTCCTGGCTTCAGCCTGGTCTAGGCCTGGCCATTGCAGCCCTCTAGGGAGTGAACCAGTAGATGGAAGAGCTCTCCATCTCTGCCTGTCTCACCCTCTCTCTTTCTCTGTAACTCTTTCAAGTAAATAAATAAAACTTTAAAAAAATGATAAACCTAGATGACTAAGAAATATAAATATCATTGAGAGCAGGGAAAAAGGATATTCAAATATACATGGATATCCTTTAAAAAAAGGAAAATATTTTAAAAGCAATGTATTACAACAGTGACTTCATTGGATTATGTTCTGTTTCTTAATTAATCCCAAATTGATAACATACTGAATATTTGATTTTTGAAACTTCTGAAACCTATACTGTATAATGCAGTATTCTATACAATAAAATAACAAAAAACATTAGAGTGTCACTCAAAATCACAATATGCCATTTATAAAATAAGTCATACACATAAAAGTTTTCCCAAGTATAAATCAAAGTAAGTATCTTTAAACACTAACAAATATCAGAAGACCTAACCTACCTAGTCTCTCACTAATAACAATTTCACATGTGTGCAAGTACAACAAAAAACTATGGATTAAAAATTAGAGAACTGTATTTCTTTATTCTCAACCACTCCAACAGAATTCATAGATAATACAGAGAAAAACCTATACGGTGGATCATTCTAATCTAAAGATTTAGTACAACTAGATTATCCAAGGAAACATATTACTAGTGGCATATTTATAATTTATGACAAAATAAGAACAAAATATTTAGTTTAAAAAAGAAAAAAGCAAGTAAATCTGTTTATAATCTACATAAAAACAGAATGTGGTCCATACTTATGACTGGTATTTGACTAATAAGGCATATAGTCCATAAAGGTTTTACAATAAGAAATACACTAAAACTTACAGTTTAATCAATTATAGTATTCAGAAAGTTCTGAGAGTGGAAGTTTCAGTTTCCTTTTCCATTTGGAGAAGAGTAAGAAAAAAAGACATACTAATTTTGGAAGAATTTCACATTTGATTAAGATATAGTTTCCATTATCTGATTACCACTGTAATCTACTTTGAAAGCATGCAAGTGATTTTCCAAATTTTTATTTAGGAAGACAGGATACCACTGTAATTCAAAATTTTCTGGTGAAATTATCATGCAAAGTTGGTTACATACCAGAACTATTTAGTTGTGTTACTCTCATCATCATCACAGTTCTGACACTATGAGAAGTCCTTGTCAGTTGACTGGAACATGTTGAAATACCTAAAAATTCAACAAGCACGACCTTCCCAATAGAACAAGAGTATAGACAGCCCTTGCTTTAATATCTTCGAATTCCCTGCACACTTAAGCAAAATACTAAAAATATGCTACAATTCCTAAGAAAGGATAAAGGCAAATGGATAACATGTAGTAGTAAAGAGGGGGAAAACCGAAAACTGTAACAAATATTACTAATCTTTATTTCCTACTACATATAAGGATTAAAAATTAAAAGTAATAAAAAAAGTTAGGAGAAAGAAAATAAGATACATCAGGGAGAGAAAGCACTGGTACAGAGATGAAATTGAAATCAAAATACAGATTCTCTCTCCTAGTTCACAAAGAACCTAAGGAGTACAAGAGGAATCACAAAGGGAACATTTCCTAGAAAGTGGAAATTGTATTGGAAATTATCCAGCAAAAATTTTTTAAATCATAAATTGATCATTTTGAGGCTTCCAATTCTATGAATCCCCCTCTTGATTATATTAACTGAGTCAAAACACACATGAGAAGTAAAAAAAAATCAGTTGTACCATTATACAACAGAGTCTGAAAATAAGCTCTAGCAATCTGTACAAGTTTTAAAATGTAACTGCTGTTAACACAACCATCCCGAAAACACAAGCTTTATTTCCCCCACATAAATATTTCTATCTCAGCATTAAGAATTTTCTTTTGACATATGGTAAATTATGTATACTTACACTGAACATGTATTCTATTCTAATGTTTTCTTAAGTAGACCTTGGAGTTAGATAAACCAGTTCCTTCAATTTCTCATGTATGTGTATGTATTATAAAGTACTTCAAAGAAGTTCATGAAAAAATGGAATTAACAGAGTTTATATTGGTGCAAAAAATTTTTGAAACTCATGCATAGTTTCACAATATGCATTTCCATGAACTTTTGGGAAACCTTTCATATATATATATGTGTGTGTGTGTGTGTGTGTGTATATATATATCACTTTCTCCCTTTCTTTTCTGGGTATTTTTCAGTAATGAGATAACTCTTAAGATTGCATGTTACTACACCACATTTGTTAATATATTTAAACTTATATTCCAGTACAGAATTTTGATAATGACTAAGTAACCACTTATCAGACTTATTCTCCTACATAGAACAACTATAAACTAGAGACAAAAAACACAATAAGGTAGCAGGTAAAGTCACCTCCTGTGACACTGTCATCCCATATGGGTGTCAGTTCATATCCCTGATGAACTCCACTTCCAATCCAACTCCCTGCTAATAGCCTGGGAAAAGCAAGAGGGCCCCAGCCACCCACGTGGGAGACTCAGAAGAAGCTCCTGGTTCCTGGTTATGGAAGATTCTCATTTTGTCTGTCTGTCTGTCTGTCTGTCTCTCTCTCTCTCTCCCTCTCTCTCAAATAAATAAATAAATAATTTTTAAATACAATAAATAAATATAAATAACTAAAAGCACTGGAAAATGACCAAAAACAGGTTGGTTAGGAAAGAAATCAATACTCAGAAGAAGGAATGACACCAAGTGAGTTAGTTGCCTGTTTGTTGCAACTGTTAGCATGCGGCAGGTTCTGATCATAACATACAGAGCAACTAAAACTCATAAAAATTGCTCAGACTTTCTCCCTGAAGAAAGAAGAGGACAGAATTCCAAGTAACGGAAGTCACTGAAAAGTGAGGGGAGAACCCTGGAAAGGAGGGAAGCAGATAGCGCAAGTCCTGAGTTCTGTGTAAACATTCAGTTCAAATCTATGGCTGACTTGTGACCCAAGAAAGTGTGGAACTCCAAAAATCTGGGACCAGGCTTGTGGTGAAGTGAGTAAAGCCACCACTTACAATGCTGGCATCCCATGTGGTGCTGGTTCATGTCCTGACTGCTCCATTTGCAATCCAGCTCCTGGCTAATGTCCTGGGAAAAGCATCAGAAGATGGCCCAGGTGTTTAGGCTCCTGCCACCAACAGAAAAGATCCAGATGAAGCTCCTGGCTGCTCAATAAAATAAATTTTTAAAACAAAAAAGCTGGGGCCGGCGCTGTGATGCAGCAGGTTAACGCCCTGGCCTGAAGCACCAGCATCCCATATGGGCACCGGTTCAAGACCCAGCTGCTCCACCTCCTATCCAGCTCTCTGCTATGGCCTGGGAAAGCAGTAGAAGATGGCTCAAGTTCTTGGGCCCCTGCACCCATGTGGGAGACCTGGAGGAGGCTCCTGGTTCCTGGCTTTGGATCGACGTAGCTCTGGCTGTTGCAGCCAATTGGGGAGTGAACCATCGGAAGGAAGACCTCTCTCTCTCTGTGCCTCTCCTCTCTTTATGTAAATCTGACTTTCAAATAAATAAATAATCTTTAAAAAAAAAAAAGCTAACAAATGACTTAAGGATTTCTAAAAAAATATTCTATTAAGCCAAAACAATGCAGGAAAGAACAGAGGAACAAAAAACAAGGACAAACAGAAACCAAACAGTAAAACTATAAATCTATAATCACCCCATCAGCAATTTCAATGAAACAGAAAAGAAACAATAAAGGAAACAGCAAAGTTAATTATTTGAAGAAATCAACAAGATTAATACACCCTAGTCACAATGAGAGAAAGAGAGAGAGAAGACTAATTATTAATATCAGGAATGAACATGGGAACACAACTACAGATGCTATAGACATTAAAAAGACTTAAAAATTCCATGAATAATTTTATGTCAAACAATTCAACAACTTACATAAAATGGACAAATTCCTTGAAAAATCTAACTTACCAAAACTACCATAAGATGAAACAAAGAATTAAAGAGCTCTAACAAAACTGAACTTGTTACCAAACACAAATACAAATGGACATAAACCCCCCACCACACACACACATACTCTTCCAAGCCTGTGTGTTTTCACTGGTGGATTTTGTCAAAACATTTGAGGAAGAAAAACTTCATTCTTACACAAACTCATAAGCTGTTCCCAAAAACATGACGAAATACTTCCCAACTCATCTTTTAGGACAGAATAATACTAAAAACAAAGCTTAATCAAGAAATTACCAAAATAGAAAAAATTACAGACCAATATCCTTCATGAACCAGCACAAAAATCCTTAATTACCAAGTGTTTTGCTTTACTAAAGTGTGCTTATTCATGAAAATGGCAAAAATTACTAACATTCAAACTTCCTAACATTTTCCCATTTCTTATTTCTCACTATCTGAAGAAGCTGCTTTTTAGAGGATCCCATGTTTAGAAAAATATAGTGTAGGCAAATTGTCTTTAAGAATCTGTAATATTTACATATAGGATTTCTTCAGGTTTCACCTTTTAAAGTCTGCTAGTGAGTAATACAATTGTCACAAACTGCTAATTATATTGTATCAATTCAAATGAAAATTATTTGGTATGTGGCTCTTTCCCCTATATGTCCTTGAAAATTTAAACACAATTATTATAATATATAGACAATATTTGTTTTTTCTTTTTATATAATTTTTTATTTATATAAAGGGAATAAATTTCATGTATTCCAGATCCACAGTTTCAAGAATGATACTTCCCACCCTATCCTCCATCCCTCACTATCACTCTCCTTCCTTTCCTATTTTTCTTTTAATTTTTTCAATTACATACTTTCAATTTACTTTATAATCACAAGCTTAACCCTCCACTAAGTAAAGAATTCAACAAGCAGTAAGTAGAAAGATCACTGATCCTCAGGAGTATAGAAAAGCGCTATAAACAATAATCAAATCTCAAAATGTCAATTTCACTCATATAACAAACACACAGAGATCCATTACAAATCCTGAAAACTTAAGAAAAACACCTTGCCTGTTTAAATGTAAGATTTTAACAGTTATCTGCAACTGTGCTAGAGATACTTAAGTCTTACAGGACTAAAGATTTCTGTACACCTGACCATGCTTTAAAAGTTCACTGTAGGGGTAAAGCCACCTCCTGCAATGCTGGCATCCCTTATGGGCACCGGTTGGAGACTTAGCTGCTCCACTTCCTATCCAGTTCTCTGCTATGGCCTGGGAAAGCAGTGGAAGATGGCCAAAAGCCCTGGGGCCCTGCACCAGCATGGGAGACCCAGAAGAAGCTCCTGGCTCCTGGCTTTGGATCAGTGCAACTCTGGCCATTGCAGCCAACTGGGGAGTGAACCAGCGGATATAAGACCTCTCTGCTGCCTCTTCTTCTCTCTGTGTAACTCTGACTTTCAAATAAATAAATAAGTCTTTAAAAAGAAAAAGTTCATTGTAAAAGAAATTCCTGTCCAATTGTTTTCTTATCATTGCTTTAGTTTGTTTATTTGTTTTTTAACCTAAAGAGGCATCTGGTAGGAGAGAAAACTGGTGAACTGTAGGCCCTAATACATTGAGCCACAGTTATAATCAGGTTTTCTCTTTTTTCCTGTATTTGAAGTTATCCAAGAACAGTTTTTTGTCAGCACGATTAAGAAGTTTTTCCAGGGCTGGCGCTGTGGCACAGCAGGTAAAGCCGCCACCTACAATGCCAGCATCCCATATGGGAACCAATTCGAAATCCAGCTGCTCCAATTCAGATCCAGCTCTCTGCTATGGCCTGGGAGAGCAGTGGAAGATGATCCAAGTCCTTGGGCACCTGCACCCACGTGGGAGACCTGGAAGAAACTCCTGGCTTCGGATCAGCCCAGCTCTGACTGTCACAGCCAACTGCGGAGTGAACCAGCAGATGAAAGATCTTTCCCTCTCTCTCTGCCTCTCCTTCTCTTTCTGTGTAAATCTTTCAAATAAATAAATCAATCTTAGGCCGGTGCCGTGGCTCACTTGGTTAATCCTCCACCTGAGGCGCTGAAATCCCATATGGATGCCAGTTTCTAGTCCCGGTTGCTCCTCTTCCAGTCCAGCTCTCTTCTGTGGCCCGGGAGGGCAGTGGAGGATGGCCCAAGTGCTTGAGCCCCTGCACCTGCATGGGAGACCAGGAGGAAGGACCTGGCTCATGGCTTCGGATCAGCGTAGCTCCAGCCATAGCAGCCATTCGGGG